GGCCTACAACGTACTAGCGATGGCCTACAACCTACTGGCGATGGCCTCCAACCTACTGGTGATGGCCTACAACGTACTAGCGATGGCCTCTTATTGCAAAAAGGACGTAGGCGAGCTTAGTTTTCCTCAAAGTCTAGAAACCCAATGAATGATTAGTGCGAGCGCGTCTTCAATTTAGCTTCCTAGAAGCAGCGCGAGCTATGCTGCGTCGTAGGTAGTAGCTAATGGCCGCTTTGCATGCCTCCGTCCAACTGCTCAACTTCTGGAACGCTTCTTGCAGAGGTTGCGCGTCTACCTCAATTCCTTACTTAATTAAGTAGGGAGGGGGGTGAGCGAGTGAGCGAGCTTCAAAAAAAGAAGCGGTGCAAAACAAAAAAGAAGCAAACACGAACTAAAGTAACTAAAAAACCATTACAATCGGGTGCTACTGCAGCTGCACCCGGTCTGACAGGTCCTTCCGCAAGTCTCCTCTCTTCTCAGCTTTGCAAAGGAAGGGATAGTGCCGACCATCCGTACCCACAAAAGTTACTCTCTTCGGCTTCTCCTGCCAAATCAGAGGTTCAGAGGTACTCTGAATCTGTTGCTTTTGATTCCAACGAACGAACGGACGGACTCCTTCGATCGAAACACCTCCACGTGTTCAAGACACCTGCAAGCTGGGATAAAGTTCCAAAGAAAAACAAGATACCAAGTGCGTGTTTTGCTCATCAAAAAGTGATTCAAAACTGAAGGTGCCACCGACCCCCACCTTTCCGACAGAATCACCTCTGGAAAAAATCCTCGACCATCGGCCGTCTTCTGGATGGCAGCTCGATCCATCCTGTGACATCTCTAGCCCAAAAGAACGCTACTAGGAGCAAGGACGCAAGTAGGGGCTCCTGGCATCGCTTCTAGGAGCAAGGACGCTACTAGTAACTCCTGGCATCGCTACTAGTAGCTCCTCCGACATCTCCAGCCCAAACGAACTTCTTCAACACCAAGACATTCATTGCTAGTAGGTTGGAGATTCTTCCACCCTACTACCCTGCAAATGGGATCCGATGCTCTGACCTACATGTCCGGTCTTGCCCAGACAACCAGAAACCGTCGTCCTGGGGATCGTGGCAGTCATCTGGCTTTGGATAGGCACCAGCACTTGCCAACGTTCGGCCCTGCGAGCCAAGTGCTTCAGCGATCGGACGCTACGGACGGAACAAAGGGCGTCGATACCAACGGAGCAAGGACGCTACGTTCGGGGCTCCTGGCCTTACTACTTAGCAAGAGGACGCTACTAGGAACAAGGGCATTACTACTAGGAGCAAATAGCTACTAGTAGTGTCCGATCGCTCCTAGTAGCGATGCCCTTTGCTACTAGTAGCTTCTTGTTCCTAGTAGCGATGCCAGGAGCCCCTAGTAGCGTCCTTGCTCCTAGTAGTAATTGAAGTGTTGACCTCAAATATGTACCATCTGCCTGCTACCGCCGCCAACCAGTCGAGGGAAATCCTTTGCAAACTGGATGGAATCGCCGCTGGTACTGGCAAGCTTGCCAAAGTCCTGGGGCCGTTTTGAGAAGTCAGCCGTGTTTTCGTTGCTTATGATCCCAAAAACATGTTCAGTCGCACAAAACGGCCGTGCAAACTGAGGATGATGGAGTCTGTATTGTTGTCATGGAATTGTTCTTGAGATCGTTTCCACACCCCTTCTCAATGCAGGACATCTGTGCAGTCCTCAGCGATTTTGATCCGAGTGCAAAGCAATCTGTGAAGATCTTGGTCTTTCCTTCACAAAGTCATCAGTTGGAGGCCATCGCTACTAGGGTGGAGGCCATTGATTGAGAGTAGGTTAAAAGTCAGCGTGGAATAAGTTGGTTAGAGAGACAGCGTGCCTTGCAGCCAATACACCGCTCTACTAACACTGTTCAGAACTGTTCTTTTCAGTCATTCCGTCATTCCGGCGGCATACGTTGCATGGACAAACCTTTCCGTTGGACATCAAAAGACATGGCCTTCCAACTTCTTGCACGATATCTTTGCCCAGTTGAGTGTGGCTCCGGTCATCCTGCAATGGAGACAACAAGCTTTTTGCGAATGGCAAGTGATTTCAGTGTCTGGGTCAACATGAGCTCCAACCAAGCAAACGCAGTATCTAATCAAAAGGTATCAAAAAAAACGACTCAAGGAAAATACGAGAAAAGAGCACAACAAGACACACACACACACACATTGCAACAAAAGCTTTGTTTACAGTCAACAAAAGCCCAGTCCGTATTTTGCGATTTCAAGAGCTGTACAAGGTGCCATGCTGCTTGCTGAGGATACTCCATGGTCACGCTCTTGATGATGTCCTGGCCACAGCCAATGAAAACTTCAATATGAACTGTTCACTGCCAGAAGACAGATGTAATTCCTTCTTACTTACAAGCAAACCGACGAGTGAATTCCCTACCAGATGCTACCTTTTGTTGTCCGAGTGCGAGCCGAGAGTCACAAAATAGCTTCCTGAATGGAAGAAAGACACTCACAGTCTAGTGGTTGAAACTTACATAAGCACAAGTTTACACAATTCAATGATTCCGTGGCTGCTTCTCCATCCTTCTCCAAGATGTCCGATGAAACTACCCAAACACCGGCCAACACTTTTGACAAAATGTGGAGCGTGAACAAAACCTTTAGATGGCACCGCCAAAAACGCCAAACGAGATGGACCAGTCATTCAAAACTTCTTGTGGATCTGAGTCTCTAACCTACTCTCAATGGCCTCCGCCCTAGTAGCGATGGCCTGCACCCTAGAAGCCATTGCCTCCAACCCAAGACGAGCGATGGCCTCCAACCTACTAGCGATGGTCTCCACCCTAATAGCGATGGCATCCACCCTAGTAGCATGGCCTCCAACCTAAGAGCGATGGCCTCCAATCTAAGAGCGATGGTCTCCAACCTAAGAGCGATGGCCTCCAATCTAAGAGCGATGGTCTCCAACCTAAGAGCGATGGCCTCCAACCTACATTCCCAGTAGGTTCAAACTATATACCAACTTTGCATTCTGGTCTCTTCAAATCAGGATGAAGGGCACGGCTAATGAGCTGTGACAGCACAGAGTACCACATCCAAGCAGGCACATTGGCTGCCTCAAAAACGAGATAAGAGAAACACATCCAAGTACGTGCAAAAACCATCTGCTATTATGCGTTTATTACTATTGAAAGAGATGCGTTCAAATATATTTCATTGAATCTGGAGCTTTTGTGGCACTTTCCAACCTCCTTCTGGAACTCGGCAATCATCTCTTGCTTATGAAAATCGACCTTTCAGAAGCAGCAAGCAGCACTTCTCAACTTTGGAACTCTCAATCCCATCAATCCGACTAACGCGCCACCTGGCAGCATTCCCACGCCAGTTGCAAGAGCCGGTTCAATATGAAGCGCAGTCCTTGCCCAAACGCGGCGGAGGCACAGTGCAGGCGCAGGGTTTGTCAAGTGTCGGTTCATTGGCTGAAAGCTGAACCTTGTTTTGAGAGCAAACAACTTGGGGGAACAGAAGAGAAAGGGAACGGCAAAATGCAAAAAAAAAAGAGGAAAAGGGAGAGGCAAGAGGATGGAGAATTCAACTGTGCCGAGTTTCTCTTGGTACCCCGTTGCAAAGCTTGCAAATACCCGCGGAAGGTGAAGACCACCAAGTTCTTTCGGTCAAAGGGCGAGTGCCTTGGCGAAAAGTGTCCATCACGTTCGTGCGGGAGGCGTTTTTTCTTTTTAAAACCCGCTCCTCCCCTCCCTACTTATTCATTAAGTAGGCGCCTACTTAATCTAAGTAAGGAATAGCTACGGAGCTAGTTGGTTAAATAGCTACTACCGACAGGTTCCTAGATTTGGGGGGAACACTTTACGAGATTCTGCAAACATCCGATCTACTGTAAATGACAAACATGCGCCTACTTAATTAAGTAAGGAGGGGGGGCGGGTGAGCGGGTTAACTTCTTCCCACGCCGAGGACCTGAGGACCTGGCTCGGGCGTCCGAGGTTTCTTGCTCGCTGGAGTGGCTTGAAGAAGACCTCGTGAAAGTCCAGCGCTCCGGAGTGCTCCAATCTCGTGATCAATTAGCAAGTGCATCGCTTCTACTAACAAGTGCCTTACTAGTAGTAACAAGAAGCTACTAGTAGCGATGCACTGGTTACTAGTAGCGCGATGCACTTGTTACATGTGGCGAGAACGAACGTGTGTCAGCAAATCATGGTAGCTCAAATCTTGGTATTCCACTAAGGCCGGGAAGTGACCCTAAGATCTTTCACGTCTACCCCTACTAGCAATGGCCTCCACCCTGCTAGCGCCTTATAACTCATAAGCCCTTTCTGTGTGGAAAATGTAACTACTAGCTCATTCTTGCCGACAAAAGGCTGTTGGTTGCATCACTGATTTGGCCCTTGAGCAGGTAGTCCAAGTAGGCAGCGTGATAAAAGAATGATGCCTAACAATGCACATGAAATGTGAAGTCACATGCAAACACTTGAACAAGTTCCTAGTAGCGTCCTTGCTCCTAGTAGTAAGGCCAGGAACCCCTAGCAGTGTCCTTGCTCCTAGTAGCGATGCCCTTTGCTCCTAGAAGTTAACACAAACTTGTCTTCCAAATCCAGCCTCATCGTTCAGCTTCTCTTTGGCCTGTCCATCTTCAAATGATTGACCATTGTACAGATCATCAACTACCGAAAGAACACATACAACGCAACAAAGGTCAAGACCAAGAAAGCACGCATGTTGAATCAGTTACATCCTCTGAATCATCTGGACACCTGTTCACGTTCTTGTCCTCAAAGTCACCACATACCGCGACAACAAACACCACAAGGCCCCACCTGCAGGAACTCGGCCTCCGCCACCCGCGGCAGCAGCAACGACGCGTCTGTGGCCCAGCGAGTGCCAAGGAGCTGGGCACGAGGAGATGTCTTCGACAGCACCAACCTCAGCCACTAGGAGCAAGGACACTACTAGTAGCTCCTGGCATTTCTACTAGTAACAAGAAGCTACTAGTAGCTCCTGGCATTTCTACTGATAACAAGAAGCTACTAGTAGCTCCTGGCATTTCTACTGATAACAAGAAGCTACTAGTAGCTCCTGGCAATTCTACTAGTAACAAGAAGCTACTAGTAGCTACTGGCATTTCTACTAGTAACAAGAA